TGATTTATTATTTTATGAATTATAATTGTGTATATAAGTAGCCTATATATATAATGAATTAAAGTTCATAAAATAATAAATTGACAATTTATATAATAATTTTATGATAACCAGCATAAAAAACTATTAAAATTTAAATAAATTTTCAAGTTGATTATCATAAAATTCATACTTTTTTATAAACAGTACAATAAATAAACTCGTTGTAATTTTTCCTTGTAATTATCTTAGGAAAAGCTTTACAGCGAATATTCTTATATGTAGGCCTATTTAATGAAACGAGATATTATCGTTTCTTATTTTCAGACATATTAGAACTTTTAATGATCGATGAGATCTGTTTTAATTTTTAATCACAATAAAGTCACGAAGAAATACTTACATTATTCAAAACTGAATATTTTCCTAATATATTTTATTAAAATTCAAAATAAAATAGCTTCCATAATAAATATTTAGATTTAGATAAGCATTTAATATCAGCTTTGTGTTGTTTTCCGTTGCATTTTCTCAATAAATAAATCTTTACTCATAAAACAAAGATATAAAATTCAATCAGTTAAACTTGGATTAAATTAAACATTATATATTTAAATTTGTTGTAATTTATTCGAATTTTTCACATCTCTTTCCCGTTTGATGCATTTCTTTGGTCGATTATATTCCCTTAAATTTTGTATTTTATGGTAAAAGTTAGAGGAATAATATCAGATCATAAATATCAGATCAATAAAAATTTAATTTTCATCAAAAAATTAAATTACGTGAAATAAAAGGTAATCAAATCATTAAATTAAATTTTATTCAGAAATAATTATTTGTAATGGAAACTTCTAATTGATCATTCATGAATATAACATTTATTATAACTAATTAAATTCTCGTTAATTAGAAAGGAGTGCTTAAATAAGACATTATTAGAAATAGAAGGAGTTTTTTTCAATCTATGATAATAAAAATGCTGGAGTTGGTAATATCAAAAGTATTCTTTACTTATTTCATCACTGAAATAATTCTTTAAGTATGGATGCAATCAAAGTAAAACTTAAATAAATATAAATATAAAATTTCAAATAACGTAAAAGGTAATAAATGAGAAGAGTATCATTTGAATTTTTAATCAATAAATTATAATTTATAAATATATTAAATTAACTCCAAAAATTTGAAAAACCTTACATCAATACTGTATATGCATTTCCTGAAACAAATTATTTTGTTAAGACAGATATTGATCACAGTTGTTAACGGAATAACTTTTTTTTTCAATCTTATACCAAAATACCAACATCAATATATTGATATTGGTGTTTTGATATAATATTCTTGGATTATCATTATCGTTTATAAGTTACAGCTACAGTATATTTGAAATTTGTCAAGTTAATTTAAAAACATAATTTTAAATTTACTAAATTTAATTAAATATATTGCATGACATTTTATATTATTACTCCAAAAATCATTCAGAATGTATTCTGAAAGAATACATTCTGAATGTTTTTGGAGTATTCTTTGGAGTATTTTCATCATTTTTAAACAAACAAACAAAAGAATTTTATAGACGAAGTCGAAAATTGTTAAATAGTTAATAAATCTTATATTTTTAAAATGCAAGCATAATATTATTTGTAAATCAAATTTAATACACTTATTTTTTCGATGTTATATGAAAATAATTATTGCGTAAATTCTCTTGTTTTTTTTCAAATTATTTACATTTTAATTTTTATAATTCGTTTATTTCTAAAACAAATATTTTAGATTCTGTTCGTTGTTTAAAAAACAATTAATACAACAAATGAAATTTAAGTTTTCGTCGTGTTCAAATAAAAAGTAAAATATTAATAATTTAGACAATTAACCAGTTTGAAATTTATCAGAATATTAATTAATTCAGATACATGCAAATGCTTTGTAAAAATATTAATGAAAAGTAAAAGAAATCTCCGAAGAATCTAAACTCGAAATCATTTTTAACTCAACTTGCACTTTTTCTTTTTTTTTCCTGTCCGGGTTGGTTTCCTTGTTTGAGTGTACTTGTTTACATTTCAAGGATTATATTAAATTTTGTTTGTTTATTAAAACAACATAGATATTTTACTTTAAACTGCTAGATTGATCATCGATCAAACGTCAAAATCCGTTCTTTATCTAACTTCGAACTTTAAACTATTTTAAAGTTTAAATTAATATTATTTCTAACGTAACTATTAATATACATTATTTTAGTTCATTTAAATTAATTTATTATTGACTTCTATGTATTTTTATTTTAATAAAATGTTAAAAAAATAATTTATTAATTATGATTAAAATCACGTGTTATTAAATTTTAATAAAATTTACATTACATTATTTTTCTAGAAAATACATCATAATATTAAAAATTGTTATGTCGTGTGTATACAATACAGATTTAAACTGAGCAGAGCACTTTGAACTCGAAAATACTTTTAAAATATAATATATTTTTTTAATATTTAAGGGAAATATATTTATTTTGAATTCCGTTTTTCATGATTCAAACATAATTTGTTAATACAGAAAAAAATCATTTTAGCTTATTTAGTTTTTAAGAATTAAAGATAATATGAATAAAAACACCCTAAATTTAAACTTACTATATGTTGAACGTTCCGAAAAAGTGTCATAAAATATGATTATTTATGTGTCATCTTGCCCACGCACCGTATTCTTCTTTTTTGGACATTTATCAAATATGACGTAGGCTGACTTCGCTTAATAAAAACTCGTTAAAATAATAAAAACTAAGGTCATACAAAAATCTATGAGAGAGAGAGATTTTATTGTAAATTTGTTTCCTTCAAAATTTAAATAAATTATAAATTCTAATCGATGATCTATAAGTTACGTTGTATGATAAGATCTGTGATTGAAAAAATAGGATAAATAAAATTTAATGTTTAAATTATAAGGATAGTCTATAATTAATGAGAAGTTTTACTGATAATACGTAAATGTTTTAATTTTAGATAATTTTTTATTTTAATATACTGTATGTAAAAGAAAATAAGACACAGATGTCAGATAAAAGAAAAATTTAGATTATATTACACCAAATGAAGTCGTAAGTGTTGTAGATAGAATAGCATTAGATATATAATATTATTTCTACTCTTCATTGAAATACAATAATAACACTAAGCTATTAATTAAAAGAAATGTATTAGTCATTATATAATAGCAAAAATTAATATCTAATAATTAATTTTGTTTAAAATAATTTCCTGTTAATTTTCTGACTTTAATTTTATAAATGAATTAATTAATATTTCATCTGTTTCTATTTGTTTCTATTAGTGCAATGTTTTGTATCTTTTATGATCCAAAAATCAACATGGAAAATGATTAAAATGATCAAAGTGCGAGAAAAATTTTAAATGTAATAGATTCATTATAAGAAAATATGCTTCTTAAGTTAATTCATAAATAATTTAAAATTTTTATTTAATTTTTTCTACAAATGCTGACTTCAAAGCAATATAATAAAAAATATTTAAACGGTTTGAGGTTATACGTTTTTATATCAATGATAAAAATATTAAGTGATGAAAAGAGCATTTACTAATCTCAAAAAATATTATTCTATACGCATAAATTTTTAATTAGGGAATAATGAACAGTTTTTAGAAGAGTCATTAAAACAAAGTAATCTAAGTCTAACTATATCATACATTTGTTATGTAATTAAGTACTGTAATTTTATTCGAATTTATTCTAGATACATCTAAAAAAATTTTGATTTAAAATAATTAATTATTTTTATTTTACTATAAATTATTGATGTAATTTGTTAAACTTACTAAATGATATTACTACTTACATTTTTATTTCATAAAGTTATAAATTAATATATAATTTAAAAAAAACTACTAAGAAAGGGATTTTAAATGGAAGAATTAAAATTTAATAAAGTTTTTATTTAACTTTATTAAATTTTATGTAAGTAATCGGAAATTATCTTAAGATTTTATAGTGAAAATTTGAAAATTAAAGCTATAACATTCGATTATTCATTATGTTTAAAAATGAGAAAGTTTGTGTCAGATGAATGATAGGGAGAAGCTTGTCATGTAAATTAAGACTCTTTGTATTATAAAAAAAAGAAAAACTACAATAACAAAAAAGAGTTAGTTTTAGTTATGTAAACAAAAATAACTTTTTCAAAATACCAAATCATATTTATTTGTTTTTATTTTTTCATATGTTATATTTTCATATTAAATTTTACACGGAAATTTTAATATTTTTTCATAGTGTTAATAAATGAAAATTAGAGTATTTAATATGAAAGGATTTTATCTCATATTCAATTCAGATTCATAATTTAATTCCATTATAAGATTATAATTCCATAATAACTTTAATGTATATTTCTTATCTTTTAATTGATTAAATATCCACAAAAAGATTAATTGGAATATGTTTTCTTAAGTTGATTCAAATACCGATATAGCTTACTGTATATATAGCAGTATTTGTATTAACTTAGGAAAACATATTTCGATTTATATATAATTATTATATTTGTAATGTTAAAGTATAAAAAGCTTTATTTTATTTAGCGACATTCAATTTTTAATATACATTATTTAAATGCAACAGTTTACGTTTAAATATTATATGTTGAAAATTGAATATCACTAAATAAAACAGAACTTTCTCCTAGAATTTAGAGATCCGTTAGAAACCAAGCTCCGTTTCCAGGATACGGATATACGTCATTTCCTTCGAATTATTTCTGAACATAAGCAAAACTTAGTTTAAATTATAATCGAGGTTCCTGTAGTTTCTTTATTATGATAAAACCATGAACAGATGTTTCGCACCTCAGTTATTGTTACGTAGACATGAAACCGAAGAAAATCATATAATGGGATATTATAGAAGGCTTTCGACACCTTCTTCCTTTCCGTGTTCTCAGAGACCGAATAGTATGGAAGATGATGATGATGTGTTTCTCCCTATGCTTTCAGGTCCAGGAATGCATCAGAATAAAATCCTGGCGTCAAGTTCTACTAGCAGATTAGTTAGCATACCTAAACGTCTTTGGAAGAGTCGAGCTAAATCTCAATCAAGAATTGCTGCAAGTAACATTTGTTCCTGGACACCCGAGGTAAGTTACTTTCGAATTATTTTCTTGAAATGCAGATTGGCTGTTTGACTGACAATTAAATTGACAATTTGAATAATATACAATAAATTATAATTCTAGATTTACCGGTTCTTTAAAAGTGAACCTATATTATAAGTGATATTGAAATATTAATTAGTTTCTACTATAAGTGTGATTCAGGGACGACGAACACATATATTTTCATAAAAGTATTTGGTTTTACAGTTGTATTTATATTATATATCATACACATAAAATTTAGTTAATTTCATATCCACTTTATTAAGTCTTTATGATCGGAGATTCGAAAACAAATACTTAAACGCATTATTTTACAAGTTTAGAAAAATTACATGTCTGAATAACATAATCATTTTAATATTAAATGAAAGATTTTTATTGAAATGCATTTTTCATGATTGATTTTTAAATATTTTAAAACTAACTGTAAAGATCAATTAATCTTTGCAGTTAATTTTATTTTTACAATGTTACAAGGGTTAACAAGTAGTTATTACAAAAGCTATTACAAAACTAAAGTACATTTATATATTTGAAATACTGTATATTTCATCATGGGAATTCTGTAAATTAATACTATCCAGGCTGTTGCAAATACAATGTTTTGATTATATTTAAAATTTAAAATGGTAATTTTTCTAATCGAAAATGTAGGAAAATTGATAAGAATTTCTATTTTTATAATTTTCTTTATGTTTTCCTATAAATTCAACATCGTACTGCTAAGATATCTGTTTTTCTATGTAAAAATGTTTCAGAACAAAAAGTTGTCAGCTGATCATGTAAGTTACGTGTTATTACAGTATTTACAGAGCAATGGTAGTAATGTTTTATTGGTTTAATTTTTATCATCATAATTTTTTACAGAGCAGAATTTCAATTCCATAACTCTGTTTGAATAATAATCAATTATTTTTGTAGATAGTATTAATGATATCGTAAAAATATCGTAAAAAATTGTAAAATGGCCATAATCTAAAAGTTTAAAAAATATCTAATCACAAAAAGTATACCTGAATTTTATTTGAACTTAATAATTGATATACAGTACTTCAATTTTTTTGCAATATACATTATTTTTAAAGTAAAATGCTACGTAAAAAGTAGAATAATTACTTTCGAACTTATTTAATAAATTAGCCCTAAAGATCTAAACATAATTTACAGTTAGAATGATACTGCTTCATTTAACGTTTCACTGAGAATGGCTTTACTTAAAACTGTTAGTATGCTTCTAATAACACAGGTCTGCAAGTAAAAAACTGCATAGGATTTTTATACATTTTCTTACAGATTTCAACTTGGTAAAAACGAAAAAAAAAACCAAAAAATTCCATCTCGTCAATTTTTTTTGTTACACTCAAGTTTTTGTTTGTATTTAGTGTAAAATTCCTAGTTAACTTAAAATTTAGTATTTTTTTTTTTATTATTTAAAAAATGGCCTTAAAACGAAGACTTCTCACATTAGTTCTATCAATTATAGCTGGACTTGGTAATAAATAAATAAAAATGTTGATGGTTGAAGAGAGTAGTGGTAGGGGGAAGTGGGTTAAGTATTAATAGTTTTAGCATTAGGAGGAAGGTCGCATGATTGTATAGAACAGGTTAAAAGTTGTTAGTGAGTAATATTATTGGTGAGGTTGAGCATGTTTTGACATGTTATCTAGGATAGTAGGAATAAATATAAACAACTTGCTGTTGGATTAGATCATGTTTCAACAAGCTAAATAAGTTCAGTATCTCGCTGGCCATCTAATGCCACACACAGTTTATATCCAGCATTCGAACGCTACTGTGCTTGTATTTTTATTTCTGGAATATGGCTCCCAGAGGGTGTGTAATTTCTCCCGACAGCTTCTGTTATGTTTGTGGTGAATACACAGTGAAAAGTCAACGAAGAAACATAGATGAAAATGCGAAGAAAGTTGAATTAGCGTATTTCAAATTGAAACTTGGAGATCAAGACAAAGCAGATTTTTGGAAGCAATGGGAGAAAAGGAAAAAGAAGTATGGGACTCTTTCAAGAATGTAGTGCATAAGTTTTTGGAAAATATTAAGGACCCTGACTACAAAACCATTGTACAACGCATGCTGGCAGCAGCGTATGAAGCTCAAGGATGCAAAATGAACTTAAAAGTTCATTTCTTACACTCCCATATTAACTATTTTCCAGAAAACTTGGGAGCCTACAATAAGAACAGGGTGAAAGATTTCACCAGGATGTCCCTGATATCGAGAGACGTTACCAAGGAAAATGGGATGTCAATATGCTGGCTGACTACTGTTGGATGCTCAATTGAGAAACCAGAGAAGGAAATCGGAAACGAGTTTGGAGAAGTATCAAAAAGAAGAAGAAAATGTGTCATAAGAAAAAACAGTAGACCTAAAATTGTGTATAAATATCAGAAACAATTTGTTGATTAGTTGTAAGAAAATATAATATATTTAGTTCATTGTAATAAATAAGAGTTTTTATCAAAAATTTGTTTTTATTTTGCAAAAAACCTTTACGTGATGGGATGTAACGGAAGTTATTTTTAGAATCTCCAATCTTTAAAACATATAATTCAGCAAAAATATTCCATGCAGCTGGAAAAAAATTTTTGCAGACCTGTGTAATTGTACCATGACCAATAGGGTGTTTGAAATAATCATATATCTAAAACTAGATAAACATTTGAAAAAAGAATGCCAATGTCCTGAAGAAATTAAGATTCTTTAATAGTAATAGTTACTATAAAAATTTGAAGTAGAATAAACTTATAAATACTAAACTGTATATTGAAATTTATTCAAAAACATTAGAATCAACTTCTGTTTCAGTGTTTAAGTCTTAATTATTCCTAAAGAAACATCATTAAATATTTTTTATCTGCAAATTTTTGTGTAACTTAAGAATTTGCAAAAAATAGCTTACTAAGTTATTTATGTAGAAAATGTTTTTACCTCAGCAATTAAAAATCTAAATATTAAAACTTTGTCTTCTAACTGAAAATGGTTTAATTATTATTATTTAACAAAATCTTGTTCGATGTAGTAGTAAGCAGAGTTACAAAAAATTTAGAAATACTTTCAAAAGTACAATTTGAAACTACATCCCGAATCGTAATAATGATAATTTACGATGCATTAATCTAATTTTAATTAATAATTTAATATAATAATTAATTTTTAATTTTAAATATCGAAAGGTTTTTAACACAGTATTTGCCCAATGAAATTTTACATCATATAAAAGATCTTGTATCATTTCAAACACAAAAGTTGTTAAATAGTTTATTTAAATTTAGTAAAAAATTTAATAAATTTTATAGTTTGAAGTTAACGTAAATAAATGTTATAGTTTAAATTTCATATTTGATTAATTTTCAAGCTTTGAGACTAGTTGATAAATGTTAGAAAGCATGACCTAATTCATGGACTGGCTGATTCCCGAGATTGAATTCGAGAGAACCTCAAAAATTTTTCGGGGATGGTCTGTTCCGTATATGCGAGGGATGGCCCCGTCTCTCACCACCCAACCATTTTCACAATAGATATGGCCGAACTCACGCTGAGTTTGTTTAAAAAGGCCCTGTTAGTGTCGATAGGGTGGAAAGAGTTAAAAATGAAAAAGAAGGAAAAAGCCTAATTAGTCTAGTTTCTGTATCATTCTTAGTTTTCAAATATATGTAGCCGAAAACTGCAGAAAAATTTGTGTAAATTTTGTTTATAACCAAGAAAACAATTGTAATTATTTTTAATTATTATGGAAAAAAAAAATGTTAGCAACAATCACCACCAAATCTTAAAAATCTTAGCCAGTAAGCTATTTGGGAAAGTATTAGGCCTATATCGTGCATTTTGCTTTTAAAAAGTAACTTCTGATATACCAAAATCTGATCTTCGAAGCGCTTGCTTATTTATACACAAAAATATTTATCTTAACACATTAGCAATACTTTTTCTGTACAGTATTTCTGTTGTGATGGTATTTAATGTTAAAACTTCTTAATACTATTCAGGGCCGCATTAACGCTTGAACATACCCGGGCTGGGCCGGGAAGTCTCGCCATCTTTAGGGCTTCATCTCACTGTTCCTTACTAATATTTTTATTCTACATCTGTGCCTTTATAATTCCTGTAAATAAATTGGGCTGAAAATTCTTAAAACGGCCCTGGTGATATCACAAGAACGACTTGAAATTATTCTGTAAATTTTCGAATGGAAAGTGACTAAGTGAATAAAATCACTGAACACTAATCGTGGGTTCACGCCTGGCCAACGGGCTGGTCACGTGGAGTTTTCCATATTTTCCTTAAGTTAGTAAAACCAAAATAAGGGCCAGTTTCCCATAATAGACCTCCCGAGAGTCATTTCCTCTCCCCTCGGAGGATTGCCCATGTGTCGCATTGCCGTACGCGAATAAAACCAAACCACGTCAGTACGAGAAGAGTAGATAAGTGTGGCTGCGATCTTGTCTATTCTTTACGTAAAAAATAATCTCCAATGTATTTCCAGGAAATAAAGCATTTTTTGATGTGTTCTATGAATTAGGATATCTTTATTGCAATACATTAAATCCTTCCAAATGACTATTAGAATTATTTATAGAAATTTATTTGAAGTTTACACTCTTATGTAAAAGATTTTAATTATTTCAATTTATTATTATTTTGTTTGTATTTTAGTCTTTAAAGGTTGATAATGTATTTTAAATGCATTTAATAGTTTAATGCTGGGAGTTACTAAGTTGTCTTGAGATAGAAATAAAAATTTTATACTTTTTATGTCCCATGATTTTGTTTAAACAAAAACTTGTTTTGACTTTATTTCGTTCTTAATTAACTTCTGTCATTTCGAATCTTTTTACTTACGAAAAAGAATAAAATTTAAAATTCTTACGAGAATCGAACTAGGCTCTTATAATGAAAATTTATCTCCGTTTTTTGATTACCTAACAAACACTCTAAGCTGTTTAGAAAATAGAAGCGAATAT